CTCTGTCCATGTCATCTGCATTCTTGGCCACCACAGTAGAGAGATCTTTCACATAAACACCCACGTCTGGCCTCTCTTTTACCTATACATGCAGAGAAAAAATAAGCATCATTTCCAATACAGATATCTAACAAAAAGGTTTAAACTATGACTTTACCATGAGAGGGAAAGACATACCTCTAATCTTTTGTTTTGGTCCTTGTGTAGTAAGTCCTTGATTTCTTCATTGTAGATCTCAAGATATGATACGTGAACTAAGAAACTGGAATAAATGTACAAGGAGTTAAATCCAACATGAACCTTCTAACATAAATTTCATGTTTACAACAATCAAGAAGAAGAAGAATCAAATCAAGTATTCCATACATGTGTCCTGAACAGTTCAACTTGAAAATTTTCACAAAAACATACTTTCATGCCACTTTCCTTGGATTTCTAACAACAGTAACTGTTAGAACATGGTGACTCACTTTGACTTGTCTGCTGCTCTAGCAATGTGCCCAAATATGTGTGCAAAAGAGTTGGGAATGATTCCTCTGAGCTCAGGCTTGTCCCTCACACCCTGCATGGTGAAGGTCTTGCCTGTTCCTGTCTGTCCATATGCAAATATGGTTCCTGTAAAGAAAATACAAATACAGAGTTGATACAGCAGTAGTAGAATACTTCTTGCAGTGACCAGTAATATTGAAGAAAATTTTGTTCCACTATTCTTAAATACTTTCTGAAAAGTCCAAACCTAAACCCATGGCCATGGCATATACAAAATTGAATATTGGCAAACATCCTTCTATCAACTGATACCTTTGACCCAGTGTTGACGTCACACTTCAGAGAAGACATGTGACAAGTCTCACTGAGTCAATTTACTGCAGAAGACTAGAGTGACTGGTCAAAAGCTCTCGTCTAGGTGAGAACAATTCTTTTGAATTAGAACAAAAGTTTTAACTCCAAACATGTAAATTATTCCTTGTTCCTGTAGCCAGTTCTTACCATTGTAACCTTCCAGTACTGACTCCACGATGGGCCTGGCCACCAGGTTGTACACGTCCACCTGTTTGGAGTCGGGTCCGAAGACGGTGTCAAAGGTGAACTGTTTGGGCGGCTCGTTGGGGGAGTTGGGTTTGGTGACGGTCACCTGGCCGGTCACCTCGTCCACCTTGACCACCTGCTTGTACTGCTCGCGGACCTCCTTCTCGTTCATGGGGCGACATCGCACCACCACGCGGACGTTGTCCGAGTCACGCTCCTTCTTGTCGCTCTGGGTGATTTATGAATGAACTTTATTCCTCAAAGACAGATGTATGACAACATGGACAATGCAACCAACACAATCGCTACCTGGCCCGGTCGTGTCGTCTCCCACTGTTGAGATTTTACGGGTCGGGCTACAGGCCTGTCTACCCTAACCTGGGATATGTGATCATATTCATTAATTTTCATCTATCTGCAGTATACTGTATAGGCTGAACTTAGACTTTCTTCTTCGTCTTCTACTTGAACTTGATGCAGATTCTGTGTTGTCATAGTGAATGATATGGGGCAAGTTTCATAGACACTTCCATCCATATTTTCAGGCTAACACTGGTCGTTGTGAATAATACATATGAAATTTATTGATTTATATTGTTATCAACACCCCCTTTATGTCATAAACGTCCTACATTTGCGCAAATTCACTGCTCCGAACATCCCCATTCATATAGAATGGCATGAAATCTAAGTCTTATAATGACGGGCTTTCAATCTAATTCATAAGCTACAGATTTTCCTTCCGATCTAAAACTGGCAGTTGATATGTTGTGTGCCCCCCTCCCCCAAAACTGTCAGGCAGAAGACAATGAACAAGATTTGCAAAAAGTAGCAGCTTAATCGGTACTATCCTTCAAATAAATAATCTCGGCCGTTTCTCTATGTTATAAAGGAACCATCTACCCCGTTTCTAGCACTATATGCCCCAAAATATTGGCAAAGTGGACCAAAACATCCGCTTACCGGCATCTCCCTCCTACCGCTAGGATCGTTTCCAAAATATGTAGGATGACGTCACCTAACAAGGGATGATACATTATTCACCTAGGTTGGCTCTCAAAAAAATTGAACCAAGCAAAAATGTATCTCCAATCATCTCAATCGTTGGAAAAAATACAAATACTTATAAGATTATTTCTAAATGTTTGTAATATAGTTTATAAGGGAAATTTGTTGGTATTGTAAAACGTATGTAGACTACTTTTGTACCATCCCTACAAAGGGGTCAAGGTTCAAACCTGTAGAGCAAGCTATCATGGCCGACTTGTGGTAAGTTGCAGTGATTCAGTCGATCTTTTCCCTTTTTGTGGCGTCAATTTTCACCTCAGAGGCCTTTGCACTCGACAAACAAGTAAAGTAAGCAGTTATCTTCAAATGAAGACTGTTATAGCTGTAGAAATTTAAGGGGAAAGGGCACACAATGGCTCTGAATACGTGCTAGTTTAGTGTGCGTACGTTGATCATTGATTAGAAGGGGGCAGGGCATACAGTACACATGTGATTGTAGATACGTGATATATGGTTCGTGTAGACTTTGATCGCTTAGATCGTAGTATCTGTAACCACTCTAAATGTTCGTCTACGTTACTTTTCCTGAAAACTGTGGAAATTTAAGGGAATTAGACTATTATACGTCGAACAGCAGTTAAAGGTTTCAAGTTGAGTCTGAATCATGTGACTACCACATGGCCCAGGGTCGGCTGCATTTGATGCGATCACTTAACAAGCATTTAGATTTTAGCTTATTTGACCTATCGGTATAAACTACAGTTGTCTATGAGCACACATTTGACATAACATCGAAAAAACTATCTAGTATGAGACAGTAAAATTTTGTGATTGACCTGTGTGCATACATTTGGAACAAAGGAGCAGTAAAATAATAGTAACACCAGATGACCGGGTACAGATACAATCATAACACAGGTGCAGGTGGAACAGCTTTACTGTAAACATGTGTTATCCTCCTGGCCTGAAAGCATGTTCCATATCCTGCTCACGATCGACCAATAGAATATGCATGTAGGAAGGACCTCCTTGCATGCAGTAAACAGATGAATCATAGCTCACAAAATATCCCGTTGTCCTTATGTGGAAATCATTTAAAATGTACATGTAACGTTACATGTTGATGTAAGGTGCCACTGCAGAACACATTACTGTTTGTTTTTGTTCAGATTGTCACTTCACAGAAGTCTTGAAACGTGAACTGATAAACAAGAGGATCAACAGGAAGTACTTTTGAACCCAGAATTTCATTTCTTAACAAATTACAATGTATATATGGGTTATCATGTACTTAGCCACAGAGTTTACATGAATGACAAATATCACAAGACATGTCATCTTTACCGATATTGCCTTTTTATTACACTTATATGGAGTCATCCTTACATGTATTTTCCAGACATTATAATGCACTGTCAATGCAATACCAGTGTACTACACATGCAGAAGTGGACCAGAGCCAATGACGTCATAACAGCTTTATGACCTGAGCCTAGCAACAGACAGTGTTTGGGAGTTGTGCAGCTACTGTAGATATTTGATGATGGTGCTGGGTACACTGTGTAAGCTGGTCCAGCGACAGACCTACACCTGTCTGTCTCACCGCTATGGCACGGTGCTGTGCTTCGGGGGACTACTGTTACTCACAGTGTCAGCTTTCCAGTTTGGGGAGGTACTTGTACTTTGTCAATTTGTATTGCAATTTTTAAAATCCTTTACATACTATTGTTACAAACGCATTTAAAATTGTCCTCTCAGTAATATCCTGGTTTACAGTATTGTGAAGGACTGGATGATGGTCATCTGGCTTTTTGTAAAATGAGAAAGAATATTTGCCATCATCTTTGTTTTTTCATAAGAAAGAAATCTTTAGTTGCAAACGTATTGAAGATTTAGTCAACAACATTTTGACTTGAATGTGCCACTCACTCACTCATTGTCCGGTTTATCGTCTGTTGTTCCCCGTCTTCCGAGAGTTAGACTTGCTTGCACTGCCACAGATGTTAATCTGAGTCACATTATTTATGTCGATTTCATGTGTGTCATACTTGCTAAGAATACCGGTAAGACCAGTTTTCACCAACATGTATCATGTCACACTTTTCCCAGGTAATGTTAGAGTGGAGTAAGGACCAGTATGCAGCCATGTTTAGCGCCTATCACGACAACATTGCGAGCAAGTCGTTCCAGGATCGCCTGTGCCTGCCTGTACCCATTGATGTTGTGTACACGTGGGTGAACGGGACGGACCCAAAATTACTGGAGGGACTACGCAGACTCAAAATGGACATGGAGCTGGAAATCAACAAGTAGGTCACATTGTGTTCTATTTTCTCTCTTACATGATGTTACACCTTACATTGTACCAAAATTGGATCAAGCAGAAGGCTTGGACAATTTTGCCGCTTTCTTTCATTGTAAGGCAAAGGAATGTTTTTTCCCTCTATGTGGACCTACATGTGCACTAAAACGAGACATGCTGTACTATAGTATGTACAATGTAGAATTTACCATATGTAGCCTGAGGGCAGTGTTCCAACTCACTAGTTCTTTAGTCCAAACAATGCAGCATTATTGATTTTATTGTGTTGTTTAGAAGGATATCCTGTACTCTTTTTTGAGGGGGAGTGTTGCTGACCTCCCATTCCTTTTGTTTGTAAACAGCTGTTTCATGGTCCTTTTTGGCGATGCTCAGGGGCAGAGCCGTTAGTATAGTTCTGAGTTGAGTACATTTGTATATTGTAAAAAATTCCATGTACACATTCCCAAGGGAATTCTTTTGAGATTGGCCTTTGCACATATCAGGTAGAGAATCAAATGTAATGATTGGCTTAGGGCATCAAAATGCGGTAGTTTATTACAGCTTTTTCCCCAGATACATTGTACTTCAATAAGTTTTCTGGATATTAATGATCAGTGAATATTCCTTTTTTGCAGAACTAAGACAGGCCCAGAGACCAACCAAACAACCGATAACAGCAGTAAAACCAGGTGTAAGTTAAAAGACTGTGTGTCAGTCCCAGCTGTGGTGTTGGTACCACCGCTACCACCCGAGATGGGGTTACCGGAGGTCCGTGCAGAGTTCCCCGTCTTCCTGCTGGCCAGGAGCGTGGAACACCACACGGCGCTGGGCGATCCACCCGTCAACATCACAGTCATCAAGTTCTCCTCTCAAGTAGAAGGTGAACTTTTTCACATGTACAGCACAGAGGTTTTTGCATAGGAAGATCACACCTTGTCTTTTGCGTAAAAGTTGATAGAATGTTGAATGGTTCAAAACAGAATTCACACCAAGTTTTGCAGCTGAGCTTTTTTGGGGGAATACGTGTAGTGTCACATGGAAGTTGCAAAATTGTGTCGCCAGTTGATAATTGTTCACTAGTTACACATCACTGTTCTCTTTTTGTAACATGACTTTGCCAAAACTCAAAACCTATTTTGGTAACACCACAGGATTTCATGTTGTTTCTCTATCAAACAATATTTTTTAACCATCACTTTACCATTTTCCCTCCACACAGTCAACGTAGTTCTGAAGGAAACCGTGGAGGTAAACGGGGTGAACGTGTCCCTACAACAAGGCTACCTGACCAGTGACTGGACGGTACCTCACAGCGTACTCCTGAAGGACACAGTCATGGTCACTCACCTGCCAAGGCAGGGAGAAGAGGAGGTCAAGGCCATGTTAGAGGACAAGTTCAGAGAGAAGGTCTCCTCTGTGGAAGTGTACCTGGAAAAGAGGGTGGCCGTCATGGATGTACCAGACTTTAATGATATGGACCTTCTGCTCAAGGTAACATCATCTGGACTTACTGTTTACAGCTCTTTTGAATAACTTTGTACAGGGTAACACTTGGACTCTATTGGCTCATTGCCACTGTTACCTGCACATGTTGGTAACAGCTTAGAAATGCAAGAGCCTCAACTTGTCAGGTACCTTTCCTGTGGATAAGATACATGTACTCATAATGTGTTCTTTTTTAGTTGCTTTCCTTACTTGCTGCCCTTAATGCCAGTCCTGATATGTGCATGTTGTAGGGCAGCAACAAAAGCTCTCCAGTTCTTTCTTCTGCATATATTATCGTAACTTTTTTCATGTTCTTTATCTGCCAGTTGTTCTAACAATAACTGCCTTCTGTTCTTTCCTTCAGGACGGTGATGTCACCAATGTGACGATAGGGAATGACACAGTAAGATTGACAGCTGCCAGTCTGGCCTGGGATCTCACAGATGATCTGTCCTTCCATGAAGACATTGCACCAAGCAGGTACATGTTCTCAGAGAGATAATCCTTGTAAAGTTTCTGAGATGTGAAAAGAACAGATTTTCTTTCTGTACTTGCTAAACAATTCTGTATCTGTAAACTACCGGTATTAGCCGATTTGACCCCCCCCCCTTCAGCGTAACACACTGGCATTGTAGGCACACGACGTGGTAGCTGTCTATATTACACTGATTGACTTCATACACCTAGCCTTTGCACATCTAAGTCTAAACATTGTTTAAAGCTATCAAGTGATTTGTGATAAAGTTGAGCAAGTACAAGTAATACATGTGTATCTGTAATGGGTTTCCGGAAAAGGCTGTGCTGTGCATGTGCATGTGCTGTGCCCCTCTTCAGGGCCCCAAGCCATCACATGTTAAAGGTGCCCTAAGCGATATCTGGGCATTATAATTGGAAATATTTTGAACAAGACAATCTTTATGGTATTGACACATATTGCCAAGTATCAGCATATTTACATCATTATTTCATACCATTGGCTGCATTATGAAACTTTTTACGCAAAAATTTTAAAATATTCTAATTATGCTAAATTTCGGTGTTATCAACAGTTACTATCACTTCTTAACACATTTGTGTCATTATTTCATATTTCTGACGTATATTTTGTGCGTTCAAACAATCTTGTTCAGTTCCCGGTGCCACCGGTTTGCTCAGGACAACAACAACAACAACAGGCAGTGGTTGGCCCCCCTAGTGTGGCTAATTGGTCGGGCATGACAGGATAGATAGACAGGAGCACATGTCACAAGATTGACTTTTTAATTGGAAACACTCATATCTTTGACATGAAGCGGAATATGATTATCAACTTAGTGTATCTTATTGGGTATCAATAAACTGTGCCATTATCCCTTCAAAAGAGATAAAAAATCTGGTAAATGATGAGGTCTTTCAGAAATTTGTACAAAGCTGTCAACTGACGCCCCACTGGGAGGTACATGTACCATATGTGGACAATACCATATGTTTGTCTCCACCAGACTCCTTTGCAGGCTGAATAAATAGTAGAAATTGGCTAAGGGGAACATCATTGGCCAGAGGAGTTGGCCGGCCATAGAGGGTCCAGCTTACCTGCAGGAGACTAACCATACATGTATGTGCGGTGTGGCCAGAGGTTTGAACAGAAGATCATTCACAGTTTTGTAAGCTCATAAGGAGCAAGGATGTTGTATTTTTGTTGCTGCGTATTATTCTGGAACACTAAAGGGTTAAGTCAACGTACTATGTAAAGAAAAGAATGGAAAATATACTTTTTGTATTGTCAAAAAGTCACATAATGGCTTGGGGCCCTGAAGAGGGGCACAGCACATGCACATGCACAGCACAGCCTTTTCCGGAAACCCTATCTGTAATATGTCATTATTTGATTCTTCACCATCACTAATCTACCATCACAACTTGATTGACAGGTTTGAAGACAATGAAGAACTGAGGTACTCCCTACGTTCCATCGAGAGGTACGCGCCGTGGGTCCGACATGTTTACATCGTCACCAACGGTCAGATCCCGTCCTGGCTCAACCTGGACAATCCCAGACTGACCATCGTGACCCACAGCGACCTGTTCCCCAACGCCAGTCACCTGCCGTCCTTCAGCTCACCTGCCATCGAGGCACACCTGCACAGGATCCCCGGACTGTCCAACAAGTTCATCTACCTGAACGATGACGTGATGTTTGGTGCTGAGGTCTGGCCGGATGACTTCTACACACACTCACAGGGGCAGAAGGTATGATATTGCTACTGCACTTGATCTTTACACTGGTAGAATTTTTTACATCTCTTACCCATGCACATGGGCTTTTTTTGTGTTTCTGTCTGAAGACACTTGGTGAAAACATTGATTTTCTAGGAAACTAATCCTCCGCCATTGTGTTCTGCAACTGCAATTGTGGAAACATCCTGCAGATGCAGAACATATTATTTGTATTTTGCATAATATCGGTATCTGTATCTGTATAGCCGGTATAACCGCCTTTCGGCGTAACACACCAGCACAATATCTGCAGTCCAATGCAGAATGTCCTATCAGTGGTCGAAATACTTTTTTTCAGTACTCTGCAATATTGCAGAAGAGTCAAAATTTTGTTCTTCAATTTGGAAATACTTTCTGCAAATACACAAGCCTCCATATTACAACCTTTCTGCAAATACACAAGCCTCCATACTACAACCTTCTCAAACCAATAATTCCTTTTTTACATCATATATAGCTTTGTGAATCTGTACAGTAGCATTACTGGACTGCAGGAGAATTTCAGGTTTATAAGCATAAACTATTGATTAATATGCAAATTAGTGAAGACAATTTTTTGGAAGTCCAAAAGGAAACAAAAGTTAGACAAGTCAAGACAAGGATGATGCAAATTAGTGAAGAAGCTCCTGTTGTTTCAGAACAGTCTGTCCCTGGGGCCTGGAAGTTTTAGTTTGCTAAATTGAAAACTGATGAATCTGGAGCCTATTTTTCCTTCTGCAAAATTGCAGATTGTATAATTTTTTCTTCTGCAATCTTGAAAATCTATCTGCAGATTGCAGACTGCAGGCAGGTATTTCGAACACTGCCTATGCTACCAGTCATATACACATTGTATGTTAGTGAAAAGTGTGCTGTACATGTACCCTCCCCAGGTCTACCTTGCCTGGCCAGTACCCAACTGTGCAGATGGCTGCCCCTCCTCGTGGATCAGGGACAACTACTGTGACAAGGCCTGCAACAACTCAGGTACATATCTTTTGCTTCTTTACTTGTTTTAGCTCTGATACCAACCATTTGTTCTCATGCATATTTACTGAGCTTGAGGCATAACATAAACTTCTATGTCCCCAAAGTATTCATACTGGATAGAAAATTTTTCCTGTAACAATAAAAAAAAGTGTTTGTGTTTTGATTTTTGCTAAAAATGTAGAATGTGAATGGGATGGTGGTGACTGCCTTGGAGCAGCTGGTGCCGGACCAAACCAAGTGCACGGTATAGGACAGGACTCCGGGGCCAACATCATGTACTGTAACCCCGGCTGTGCCAACAACTGGCTGGCTGACAGATACTGTGACCAGGTATGGACTTCTACTTCTACACAATACTCAGACAATTGGCCCAACTTGTGCAGCCAATGGGGTGCTGTAAAAAAAGAAAAAGTGACTGTGACAAGACAAGACAAAGTTGTGGAATTGGTGCATGCATGGCCACACTAGTGGCCCCCAACTCAGTGAAGGGGAAGGGCTCATGTTTCCAATAATTTTTGCCGTGACAGGTGTAGGCAATGAGGTAGTCACTCAGGCAAAGACAAGAAAGGGACACGTTGATGAAGGTTAGAAATCCATGGAAACAATACTCAAAGACAAATCCACCTCTAATACTGGATAAATCACAGAGATTACTTCTGGACATTTCGAGTGACATCTGTCAACACAAAAAGGGAGAAAAAAGAGAAACAGATGTTAGAAAAGAGGGGGATGGCAGAATAAAGGAAAATAAAAACTGGAACAAGAGTCAGCAGTTAGTCTAAGAGATTTTTAACCTTTGCCCTAAAATTTGTGACCTCTGCCCCTGTAGGCCTGTAATGTGTTGGAGTGTGGGTTTGACGCGGGTGACTGTGGGACGGTTAACTTCGACAAGCTGACCAAGATCGACCTTCAGCCAGACGTTCACCTGTATCACCTGAAGGAGGGGGAACACCTGGTGTACTTTAACCTGTCAGCTGTGTTCCCTGAAGGTAAGGAGGGATGGAAACCCTCAGCCTGCTACAGCCCTCTCCCCACATTCATTGATTAAGCAACGTAGATCTGTATAACTGAAGAAGTTAATCTGATTCAGAAGCATTTCTTATAGCACATGAAAGTTAGCAGATACAATGTATATTTGATTTTGAATGTGCTGTTTTAACAGCTTATTGCAGAAAAATTCTTCTTCTTGCAGAAGATTTAAAATAAATCTTAATAATATGGAGGTAAAAATTGACCAGAGTTGCTGCTGAAGCTAGGGTCCAATCTTTCACTGCTGCCTCTTACATGTACATGTATGTTATCCTTAACATAAGTTGCAAGAATGTGTAATGATTAAACGATGAAAAGTTGAAATATATAGTTAAGAAACTGAAATACTTTGTTGACCTGTAGGTATATCAGTGACTGAGGGGAAGTATGATGATAACGGTGTGATCAGGGCGGCGACGGTTGCACAGAAGTTCAAGACTCTGAACATCGTCCTCTTTCCAAACAAGAACGCCTCGGTTCTACACTTTAACCTCACTGGTAAGTTATATTTGTAACTCTCATCTGTCAATTACTGTTACTGATATAACTGAACCTCCTGCAAGAGTGGCTTCCAGTTAAATTTAGGTGATTGATCATTCTTTCATGTTACTGTTTATAAAATTGTCAGTATTATTTTTTGCTAACATTATTTGCACAAATCCTAGAACCTTCTATTTTCCACACTTTCTTGTACACAGGCAAAAACAAGGACACTAACGAAAAATTCAACATGGCCTTCAACCTGACTGTTGACACCAAGGAGCGGCCCAAGGAAGTGTTGTTGTTGAATGAGACAGGAGGGGAGGGGAACGTCAGCAGCACGGCAGCCAGCGACACAGAAGACACACACGAGGAAGACATTCTCATCTCCTTCCAGGAAGTTCCTGAAGATAAGATGCACCCAAAGGTATGAACTAGGGCTATGTACCTAAATCTAACATCAGGGGTTTAGGTACAAGTACACTTGAACTATTTGACAAATTAACATATATTCTTCCGAACTTCCTTATAACAGTAGAAACTAATAAACTTGACAGAATCTTTATTGAAATGAAACTGGACAGAACTTGGCAGCCTTCTGTCTAGTCCTTGTGTCCTACAATACTCTAGCTGTCCCTGAAAGATCTGTTGCATATTAATTACGTTCCCTCTAGATGTTATTTTGGTCACCCTTGTGTCACATGAGGTATTGTGAATTTATATCGGTACAGTACCAGTATTATGGACCTGTACCTAATCAATTTTTGCGGTATTGTATCAGTACACAGTACCGCTATGCAGCCCCAGTAAGATTACTAGTACTGATTACTTGTTTGCCTTCCACACCCAGGTGAAAAGAGACATACGACCAGTAGAGATACCAGAGTCCTTACCTGATGTTAACAACATGAGCTTTGTACCCGAGGATTTGAGTGCAGGACTCAAGGAGCTAGAAGGTCAACTTGATGCTGGAGAACTAACAGGTAAACTAGCACCAACCTGTTTGATTCAGTATCATGAGTCACATATTTATTAATGAAATAGAATATTGAGTGCTGATGCACATGTACATTGTAGCTGTCTTACTGTTATGATAGCATTGAGTTTTTTTTCTCATTTTCAGTCTAGAAAAAAACCTGAAAGGCATTTTCAATGTCAAATAGACAAGATGGTATTGCACCTTTTCAGAGTGTTTCATTTTCTTCTCGTGCCTGTTGTGTTCTCAGAGAAAGGGTACAAAAAGCTAGTCGCAGCTCTGTGGAAGAACTTCCCTCCTGAAGTGTTGAGAGTCGAGGCGTTTAAGCAGCTTCAGAAGAAGAAAACCTCCCCAGCTGCTGCTAAACACAGTCCTGCAAGGAGGACAAACACAAGGAAAAGTCAACCACTGAAGGATGATGGGAGCCCAGCAAAGAATCCTGGGATAGATGCCAAAGGTCATGGTAGAGAGGGTGCCAAGGTCTCAGTTGGAACAAAACGACTGAAAAATTTGGTCAGTCAGATGGATTCAAAGGTTTTGAGAAAAAACGATGGGAAGATATTGAAAGTGAGGGCAAATGAAGGAGAAACACTGAATATGAATGACGAAAAAATCATTTTAAGACAAGACAAAGTAAACAGGCCATTAAATGATGAAGGTGTCATCAATATGGAACAAAACATGGAAGGTGGAGACATAATAAAACAGTCAGAAGTTGAGTCCTTAGACAAAAGTAAGGGAGAAAATATCTCAACTAGCTTGAAGGAAGTTAAAAGCAAGGACGAAAACAATAAATTTGAAGATGACAACCCTCCGGTTAGAAGACTATTGGCCAAGGACCTTAGTGGTAGGGAAGCTGTAGAGGCTGACTCAGTATTGGGAAGCTTCCTGCCATGGGAGAAACAGGGTGTTTTCAGCAACTTAAGAAGGGAGAAAGAAAAAGTGCTGACAGAAAAACTATATCAGTCTCCCTCACATAGGACACGTCAGCTGACAGACACATTTGCGGATTCCTTACGACACAGTAACCGCATTTTCAACAAAGCGTACGGCTTCCAAGCGAGGAAGGTGCCAGCACACATGCCTCACATGATAGACGTAACCATCATGACAGAACTACAGGAGAAACTTCCTGAGGAGTTTGATGAAACGTCCTCTCACAAGATCAGACACTCCAAAGACATGCAGTTTGCTTTCTCTTACTTCTACTACCTGATGAGTGAGAAGGAGCCCAGGAACGTGACGGAAATCTTTGATTCGCTGGACACTGACAAATCAGGTGAGTGGGATTCTCACACAAAACTTGCAACAACTTGTAGCCTTAAGAGATTTAAAGCTTTTAAAACTACTAGTATTGACATTTTCTAACATAAACAACATGAATGTTGACATTGTCCACAGATTTAATGCCATGTAAAATTCTTCCTGCAGAAATTCCTGCAGGAAAAATTATGCAAGAAGAAAATGTTCAAACTGAATATAAACAAGAAGCCATAGGCGACAATCCTTCGTGAAGTTTTATATATTTCAACAAAATCCCAAGCGTCAACGCCAGACCTACTGTGCAGACATTATAATTATGCAACGGTTAATACAATGAGGGCGCGTCACAAGCATAAAACATACAAAGAGCTAAATCCATTACTGCTCCCAGGGCGTGTAAAGATACTGTGCTTCAAGTTCGAAGTTCATTTTAATTACACACACACACACAATCATTACATTCACATAAAGATCGGACTATCATGGTCGTGTCTAGTAACAAAGACAGCCCCACCGTCTTACCGTGCCTGTACCTAATTAAGCGCGCCTGGAACAGGCCAAATTCCAGCAACAGTTGCGGTAAGCACCGCGAGTGTTACTACCGCCGGCCAGATAACCAGGATATCTGCTTAGAGTACCTCTGCTACCAGACAACTGCCTAAACCTACGGCCTATTCCACAGGATTGTAAAAGTAGGGATGTTTCTAAAATATGCATTTACTTCAATATCAAAACAGCTACGGTAAAAATAAAAAGACGTGCATCATCCCGGACATAATGCCACACCACATGCGAAATTACACAGAAATGTGACGTACGGAAGAATGCGTTTTGGCTGCGAACATCTTCCAAAAAACTTGGCATCTCTTAAGCATGGGCAAAAACATCTGGAACCACTTATCAAAACCACCCCGTATCTGCATGAAGTTCCACCCCCCCCCCCACTGCTATTCCAAACAAAGCGTTTTTCTGGACCATTCCAATTCGCCTCGTAATTGTAGGGGTGCGTCTGCAATATTACATTGACCGCGAAAGCAGCAACGGCAAAAATACACATTCGTGCATCAACACGGGCATGCCCGCAGACGGCGTATAAAATTGCGTGCCGATTACACAAAGAGAACCCAGTGTTTTGACTGCGAACATGAAAAATTAGCCCATCACAACACTCCGTCCGGAGGTCCTGACCTCCTTCACGGAGTAATGAAAGTTTTTATCATCATTTATTACAGTACATCATACTTGCCAATTATATGTAAACACTTTCCATCTAAATAATTAAATATTAAGACTCACTTGTCAAAATGAGAAAAGTGGAATTCCAAACTAAAAGTGAAGGGTTTTGAACTTGTTTTTTATATGATTGTTTCCAGGCATCCTGTCAGACCGAGAGTTAAGAACGATGGCTGCCCGGTTGAATGACCTCCCCCTGGCCCTGCAGCACCTGACTCAGCTAGAACAGATCCTCATCAACTGTTCCGCTTCTCTACCCAAAAACCTGACAGAACCTGCAACCATTCCTCCAACACAGGTGCAAGTATTGAACTTTTAAAAGTTTTAATTCTAAAATTGTAGCTACCAACTAAGATGAATGTTCTTGAAAGTTTAAGTATTTAAAAGCCTGTATTTGCCATCCAGGAGCACTACTATGAACCCAGGATGCCCCTGGTCACCAAGTCCCTGGTCCTGCACTGCCATGGACTGGTCAAGCTGCTGAACAACAGCTACAAGGAGAAGAACAAGTTCAAGTACGAGGTGGTCAGCGAAGACCAGGTGGCCTTCAAGATGATCCGCACCAACGTCTCCCAGGTCATAGGTCAGCTGGACGACATTCGCAAGAACCCCAAGAAGTTTGTCTGCCTGAACGACAACATCGACCACAAGCAGAAGGACGCGCAGCTGGTGAAGGCGGTGATCGTGGACTTCTACGAGGCCATGTTCCCGCTGGCGTCGCAGTTCGAGCTGCCGCGGGAGTACAGGAACAGGTTCCTGCACATGGACGAGCTGCGGGAGTGGCGCGCGTACAGGGACTGGTTACGCTTCCTCACACACCTCACCATGGGAGCACTCATCCTGTTCTCCCTCTGGTCATTCTGTGCCAATCAGGTAGGGGGCTCTTCTGCACACTTGCCTTTTCCAAGATATATTACCAGCACTTGACTTTCATTCATCATGGCTCGAAATGCTGGGTGCATATGTACATTTATAGTGCAGGTAAAATTGGGGCTGTGCAGGTGTGTGTGATGTACATGTACACCGTACCTGCATATAGGTTTACATGGATTATTTGCTTCATTGACCCATTACCACCTACAGAGTATAAAAAAAATAATGGCAATGGTTTCTGAGTGAGTTTCTGAACAGCTTTTAGTATGATCCATACTTCTGAAAGTCTGAGTACTGTGGTGCAGGTAATTCCCAACATTACCTGTACCAGTGTGGGCATGCAGAAAAAAGGATATCGAGCCCTGATTGGTAGCTTTGTATCATCCCACCTCTTATTTAGCATACAGCTTCTTTTCTGACAACCAACTTCATATTTTAGTACGTAGATGTAGAATTTACATATCAGCTAACATCCTTCATGTCCTTTTTGGAAAGAAGTTTTTCTTGTATTTTGTCCTAATTTTCTGTAAGCTCCTGTTTTTGTTCACTCACCGTAGGGCTATCGGATGGTTCTGTCCCTTTTACGATTACTGTAAGTGTAAATTCCTGCCTCATTTTGATTTCAAGCTCTTCATTTGTGTGGCCTTTGACCCCTACTAACATTTGTGGAAGATGTCTTTCTCTTGTTATGGCACATATTAAGTGTTCTTGGCACCTTCTTAGACCTTCTTTAGCTTAGTCCTTCAATAAAAAGGATTTCGGATAATTCTGCACCTAGATAAATATTGATATATGTAGAGAGAATGGCAGCTAGATAATAAGTGTGTGCATATACATATATACCAGATACTTAATTTTGAATGGCTTTTGCATCTTTATCAAATTATGTGTTAGTCAATAAGTATAACATACATGTATCTACTGCCCATCAACCTAACACACCAGGTTTGCACCAGGCATGTGGGGTCTGTCATGTTATAATATCAAAGAGCTCATGAGTTCTAGGCCCTGCAGATCTAGTCCTAAGCACTGTTTAAGGCTATCTATAGTAAAGATGTCCCTGCCTTTCTATGTGTTGCAGATAGCAGCATTGAAGAGAAGATTCTGGCCGGTTTTAGGGAGAAGAAACCGGACACTTGGGCGGTTACTCAGGGTGTAGAAACTAGTGCATAACGTTTAGCAACTTGTGTGGGACCAACGACACTGAATGCAATATGACCTGTTACATGTACAGCTGTTGTAATATTTCTTTTGCAAGTATGATGAAGATACTACAATTATAACCCTCTAAGAGGTGAAAATGCAATACTTTGTGCTGCAATATTTAAATTGCAAAAATTTGCAATGCCCTGCTGCAGCAGCAAAATTTACTGCAGTTTCTGCTGCAGTACTTGCCATGGTACCAGACTGTGATTTAAGTGCTACAGTCATATCTGTTCCTCTTACTTGCATATTCATTTTTGTATCTTGCCATTGCAACAGAAAACGTTTTGGAAGACAATTCTTTTGATGTTTTATTCTAAGTCATGGAGGTGTAGATGCTTGGTGATGGTAAGAATTACGTCTTTCGTGTTCTTAATATGTATGATGTTTGATTCCTTTTTTATCAACATGTTAAGTAGAGGTTAATATTACTACTCTATCGAGATACTGGAAAAACATCAAACCCATACTAACTTAAGGCCACACCAATTTAATTTGTTGGTTCTCGGATTTTTTCATGAAAAATGTAAAGCGACAGGGCGAAAAAAAAAAAACATGCCCATGCTAGTATACATGCTAAAACATCGCTGTTTTATAGCCTATGCAGGGTTCTCACCAGGATTTTTTCACAGCATAGGGGGACCTACTGCAGCGAGGCCACACGGCAGGCACGGCGTGGGCACAATGTGTATTATGGTATTCATAATTTCAGCAAGGAAATCTTTTATTTCCTAATAAATAAAATTATTAGGCAATTTTATGTCAAGTGATATGTTAGACAATATTGGACAGTATTTACTGCTAATGAAACTTGACAATGTTGAACTATTTCTTACAATTTTCAACTTATACAAGTGTAAGTCAGAAGTAGTTACAATGATTAAAGCTCATGTACATAATAAAGGATTCATTCAACTAAACACCTCCTTTACTATACAGAGTAGAAAACATAAAAGGGACCATCATCAAAACAAAAAATGGCTTCAAAATTTTGGTAAGACAAATTTCGACACAATGTCTTACCTTTAAAGAAACTTTTCTATCCTATTTTAAAGTTAAGCTATATAAAAACAATCTAGCACAGTGTTAATCATGTGACCCGTGAAGAAAATTCGGGCCAAGTTTGTCAAAGTCAGATTTCCTGAGGGTAGAAAATTAGTCACACATTGTCAAACCTCTTTGGCCAATGCGCGCCTCGGCCACGAGGGAGAATCTCATTTCAAATACCAGCTTTGCCAACAATGTCACCTTTGAGGCTGTTTAGAATATTGTTTCCTCTATTTTCCCCTCAAAAATTAGCCAAATTAGTCAGATTGCAGTTCAGAATCCCCCAAACAATAAGCCTATTCTGGGAACATTTTGAAACGCCCACTTAGCTCACTTGTACGTAAGATACCTCGTCACCTGACCTCGCTAATGATATAAGGATATCAAGTCTCGCGAGAGTTGGGCCGAGAGTTTAAAATGAACAAAGAAAGATGGCGGATCGGATTAGAAAGACGCCAGCGGCCCGATGTTTCATCAAGAAAATAAGCTATTTACCGCTTTCTCTGCCAAGATAACGGTATCTGGGGACTTTTAATGGGTTTTCTTACAAATGGACACGCTTTTCATTGGCACTAATATTGTATTTTTACCAGGAAAACTGGTGCCAGCCACGCTGTACTGGGGAGTCCCCAAACAGTGAAACACACGTTCCCCGACGTCCGGGGCTTTGGGGTAGAATTAATTTTTTTTTTTTTTTTCATTTTGCGATTTTTTGAAGCGGCGATTCCGAGAACCAACAAATTAAATTGGTGTGGCCTAACAATACTCTCACAGTATGAAAGTAGAGATCACTCTCAAGTCAATCAGAGGTGGTTTTCTCTACTCTGATAGCAATCCTTGCTGCTATGTACAAATAACCTTCCTCGTCAGTTGATGTATTATTTTGTCAGATTTGGTATTTCTGGTCAAAGAAACTGTTTATTGTACAAAAGTGCAATAATCAGGCATGATGGTAGGTTTCTTTGTAAGATTTAAAGATTTTTGTGGTAGTTTCGGGAAACCTGTGGATTATTGGAAAGTCTTTTTCTTTTCAGTATCGCCATTAGAAACTAGCACATGTGCCATTGTCTTTGGAGGCAGGATGACAACAGTAACTGTAAATACAGTATGAAATGATCTGATTAACTTTGTAAATATGAATTACAAGATTACATAATATCTTGGAAAGATTGATTCAGAAGCAACTTGACGATTTATGTAGAATCTGATGTGCATATCAAGTCTGCAACATTGTCTGTCCCAAGTTCAGAAACATTGAATTCTCGTGACATTTTATTGCCGTTTCATTTGATATAGTATATTTTGATGGCTGAACAGTTAAGTTATTCTGAATCAATATTACCAATTTGGTTGTACTTGGAGCATTACCAGATGTGTTCAGCACCTGTAAATTGGTATTTGTAAGGAAATATAATGTACTGAGTAAAGTATGATGTATTAATATAGCATATTTGCCACAAAGTGGTTTAAATTATGTGATATGTTGTAGATATCTTGGATGGTTTTGAATAGAAAATTTCTGGTGGTATTGTGGGATAATTACTGAGGTATATAATTATTATGATAATTCATAAAAGTATCTTTGACTTATTATTAAATGAGACCATATCAGACAAAATGATAGGTTTCAGGCTTTATTTTCTGTGGTATCTGTAGCTTCTGTGTCAAACACTCAAACCTGCCTGTGCTTTCCCTTGGCCATTTTCAATAGAGTTGACACAAGGGACAAACAAGTTGAATGTACAAAATGTATTTGTAACACATTTCTATATTGACATTTGGTCTGATGCCATTGTGTAGATTCCTGTGTACATACATTGTAGTACATGTATTATCAGATGAACCAATGTGTAAAGTTACTGGAAAACATCATCCATCTAACAGTCCACATGACATTGTGATAGTTCATTATCATATTTCTCTTGTTATTGACATCTGAGTTTCAAACAGGCACCAAAGTTTTAATACCCTTATATTGCAGCTGTACATTTATGCCTTGGCTACCCACATACAATGCTATTACACAAAACCATCAACCTCCGATTTTTAAAACAAATCTATAAAACAAGTGCTTCTGCAAAAGCTGACCATTTTCGCCGCTTACAGGCTTACAGTTTTTACGAACATTTTCCCCATCCTAGCATTTCAATTTACCTAAGTTATATAAATGGTTCTAGTTCTCATCAACATTGTATATAATGAGAGAACATGCACTTCTATACTTCAACTCTTTAAGTTTAAAACATTACAAAAATCAAGTATATAACAGTTTATAACCTGTTTTCTCTCTTTTAAGAGTCTTTTTAACAGAATAAAAAAATGAGACACAAAAGTACATTTTAACTTAAATTATAAGTAACGTTAATATATATATATATAATTTTATTCAAAATCTCTTCTATGGCTTTGTCCCCAACATCTAAGTTTACAAACCTCGTGACATTCAACCAGGGCTTTAGCCAGCGCCCGTTTTACCGTCAATTGACGGTATTTTTTCCCGTCGGACGGTAAAAATTTAAGTCCTTACCGTCAACATTGACGGTCAAAAATCGTGGGTGAAGACATTAAACTTAGCAAAAAATGTAGCGAATTTGAATGAGCCACGGCGCGGGGTCTTTCCAAAGCGCGTCGCGTCTTTTCAAAACGCCGCGGGCCCACACATTTCTTATTTAAATACGGCGGGAAACCTGACTTCAAGGAACGTGCCGATGTCTGTTAACTCGGTTCTTTTCTTCAATGTTGCTGTCTGTTTAAACAACATGTGCTAACGGCCACATAAGAACAATGGCTCGACTCAGACTCACGCTGGTAACTGTACATGACAATAAGATAAATAAACAACATGTGGCAACGAACAAAGAAATATCAAACGTTTTGAAAATATACTGTACTTGAATTTTCATACCATCGCAAGAAAACGGAGATCGATCTACGCAAAGTGGCTTTATTATTTATATAAACTTCGTTAAACCACCTTCGAAGACTTGAGCGGCAGCATAAAGAAAAATTTTCTGGAGCCGATCGCTGAAGCAAGTTTTTGCCGGCGTACGTAACTCCCTCCGCGGCAAAATCCCATATGCCGTAGCGAAATCGCGTCTCAGCACTTCCCCAAATCAACTCCATGGCCGCTAAAGTCTGCAAATGAGGTTAAACTTCCTCATTTCGGTTGAGAAGCGAAGCTACTAGTATAAAATCATGTGCATGGCGGCCATTTTGTTTGCTACCCGAAGTCTTCCGAATGATCGAAATAAGGAAATCGTCGGAAATCTGAGCCACATCCCTCGCTCTCGGCATGCGCTCGGGGCTGGCTCGGTGGAAATCGGAGGCTGTGGCGTCAGGACTAGGTTTATTTGCATGGCTCGGGAAGCCGCCGCGGCTTGAATCGCAGCGGGATTTGGGCGCCGGGCGGGTCAAACAAAGGGAATATGAAGTTGTGAGGACCATAGTTTTTTTTTCATTCTTCAAATTGCAGATTGTGTAATTTTTATCCTGAAATCTTGAAAATCTATCTGCAAATTGCAGACTGAAGACGGGTATTTAGAACACTGAATACATGAAGTGTGCGGGGGGGCATGATGTCGATCACCGGATCATGATTTTTTTTCGCGTTGACCCTGATTCAACCCTAAAATAATACTCGAAGAGAACTTCAAAAGTCATCTTTTACTAATCATATATAATTGTTTACATTATATCATCTGATCAACCTGATCCATTAAAAATTGTCAATGGAAAATACCTTGCGAAACAATGCAATACCTATTTAAGTTAATTAAACACTCACTCATTAATTAATTAATTTCCTAAATACAAAGACATGTTGGTGAAAGTTAGGCACCCAGGTAATATCAATAGTTCCACGGACAGCTATGTAGGCCGGAGCTTCTATTGCGTGCGATCTACGTTTGGTCAGAAAAGAAACACCCCCCCCAACCACACACACACACAAAACACCGATCCGGGAACGCCTGAAAAGGAGGCTTTTAATAAGCTTTGCCTGCAGCGCCTTGATTGGTCGGACGTGTGACCCTCTGGACTGCCGGCTAATGGAAATCTGAACATCTAGACTAATCCACACTGCTAATGCTCATTGACATAATTTATGCAGTTTATTAAAATCCTTGATTACTGTGATTATAGACATGTCTTTATCAACATTTTTGTCAAATAATAAAATCAAGTTATTGTTCAAGACAAATTAAGTTTGTTTTGTCAGCAGCTTTGTTATGCAACATTAATAGAACTATGATTTTGAAATTAGCAACCATAATGGAAAGTATACAAACGTCCAAGGCATAAATGGGTAAAAAAGTGCACTCGCAACAACGACATCTAGCGACATGCGGCAACTCAGCATGTCTGCATGGCCGTCGCAACAACGACATCTAGCGACATGCGGTGACTTAGCATGTCTGCATGGCCGTTGAAGGGTGGAACCGTTGATCCATCCATCCATCCAATCTCAATCTCGTCTGAGTTACCATTTTCGCGCATGCGAAAATGGTAAAAAAGACGGAATTGTAAAGAAATGAACTTGAAGACTAGATTATTCGCCAAACCATATTCTGTCCAATTTGTTCAACCCTCAAGACCACGTAGATTTCATAATGAAAACAACTTTTGCAAAACTTTTTTTTTATTCACACGCGCGCATCAGTTTTGGGGCTCCCGGAGAATGTCATCCATATAATCAAATCAACATGGCCTTAACAGAAATAGATGTAGAACTTCATTGACACAACAAAAGTACTGCGACTTTCGTAAGGTTTAAAACTGCCTGTAAATATACAAATACGTGGGTAGAACGAAAATATAGGACGTACAAAGGCGTGTTTTG